CTTCTCAGTTTTCCCATGTATAAGCGAGGATCATGCCCAGCACGACGAACTGGACAGAGGTGGCACTCAGTGCAGAGCGCAATCAGTAGCAGTCACTTCTAAAATCTAGTAGTTAAATGATTCACGGCATCTAGTTCCCCTCTCTGCAGAACAGGGTAAGTACTGCATTTCCACTGCCTCAAGAAACTTATCAGGAACATAAGACGGGGGTAGTTCTACGGGCTTGGGAACAAGAGTAGGTGTTTTTCTAAAGGAAGGTATCGTGAGTACATGAAAAAAAAACTAACTTATCAAATGGTCTTCAGGTCCCGAATCTACCTGGGCAGCTTGGGAGTCAAGCGGGAATGGTCTTGGTAAACAAAAGCGGCCCAGCATTTAAGGAGGTACAGCCTGATGTCCTAGAAAGACCCTAGCGAAGCTGCGCCCCCATCCACCCCGGCTGCGCACTATCGCAGGGGCTCCTGGGTGTCCTGGGGCGAGTGCCGCGCCCTCCCGCCGCGCGCCCCTCCCTCTTTTGTGTGCATTCCCCGCTGCCTCCGGCTGGGCCTTCTCCCCACCCGGAGGGGGCTTTGTCTGCCGACGTCGGGGCGATGGCGCCCCCCCTGGTGGGAGGCGCGGGGGAGAAGGGTGGGGCGGCCGCAGACGCCCGGGCGGGTTCTTTATTGTCTGGCTTTCGGGGAACACGTGCACCGCACCCCGCGCCCACGTTCTGGCCTCCGTTCGTTCGGTGGCGTTCCACTGCGTCCCGGAAGTTAGGCACCCACCGCTGGTGGGAGCTGGGTGTGTAAGGAGGAGCTGGGGTTGTGGCTTCGTTGGCCTGCTGCGGCTGCGGCTCCGAGGGGAGGGTGGGGCGCCCTGATCTTTTTATGAGGGGCTTTTGCCTCCCCGTCTGGGTTGCTGTAGGCGCGAGGTCCAGTGTCGCCCCGGGCTTGTGTGACTGCCGCGGGCATCCTCCTCGCCCCCGCCCGACCTGGCGTGGGTGGCCCCCTTGGGCTTCACCCCCTCCCTCTCCTCTGGGCGCTTCTGGGGAGCTGGCCGAATGGAAAACGTCCACACTGACCCAACTGCGGTGAAGGGAGAGCGCCTCCAGTGGTTTGGGGCTGCGAGCAGCGGGGAGGACGGAGTCGGGCGAAGTCCTGCCGCCGCCCAGCTCACCCGACCGTAATGCAGCTTCCCACCGGAGACAGAGCCAGGGCGCGGGCATCTGGGCTTCTTGTGCCGAGGGGGCGCGGTTCTGCGGGGTCCCCCCTGCAGGCTTAAAGGAGGAGGAATTGCTTCTTGTTGGTGTGCACGGGCTTAGCCTTTTAATGCATCAGATAAAAAGGCAAAATGGTTGACATTCTTAAACAGTGAAAACCTGTGGATTCTATCTCGAGAAATGGCTAATTGAACTTGGGGCAGATTTATCTTGAGACTTAGCGAAATGACTTAGAGATATTTTCATTTATTGGTTAGAAATACTTTTTTTGGCATGTATGTTTTAGATTGACAAAATATGTAAAATAGTTTTCAAGACTTTCATGTACATGAATATGTGGTTGTATATTTTTTGTTGTTGTTGCTTTTAGGAACATTGTTTTATTGCCCTTTTCATGTTGGAAAATTATTTTGGAAGGGAGGAAATCAAGTCTCCTTAGAAATTTAAACGCATCTTACAAGATGTATTCTTAAGTAGCTTGTTTTGCTACACAAAGTGTCCCACTGGCAATAAGGCCTTTCTTTTCCTTTTTTTTTTTCTAAAGATATATTTAATTCCTTGAAAGAGCCACAGAGAGGGGGTAAGATATAGAGGTAGACCTTTCTTTGTGTGTGAAGGAGTAGCTGCCTGCTGAGAAGTTTTCATAGCTTGTAAGATTGTAAAGGTTCATTTCCTAGAAAATGTCAGTCTGAGATCACAGAATATTTATTTTCTTCAATTCATTACTCCACAATGGGGAAAATAAGTCCATTGTGATGTTTTTGAATAACACTTTGATATTTATGTACCCCCCAAGGCACTACTCAGAACAGTTACCACTACAGTAAAGCTCTTGCAAGATCTTAGAGGAAGAATAACTCAGCTGTTTCTTTTTCTGTATATAAAAAAAATTTGAAAGAAAGTGAGATAGAAATATATAAAGAATGAAGACATTTTCAAACAGGGCATTTAGTGATTGACTTGTCACCATGTGTTTCTGCATGGAAACAAAGAGAAGAGTTCTGTTCTTGGAACATGGGGGATTTAAGTGGTTACAGCAGCCTCTTGGAATCTTGACTGTTGGAATCCTAAATTTAGAAGACAAAGGAGAGAGAATATTGCCCACTCAGGGATTCTGTGTAATTCTATATTGAGGATACCTATTTGGAAGCTTAAATTCCATTAGTGTGTCATGATTATGGTCATGAATAGTTAAACCATGTTATTGTGTCTAGATTTTTTTTAATGCTGTGAAGAGTTTGTTCATTAATTCAGCCTGTTATTGATTACCTAAGAGACAGGCATTGCACTGGGCTTGGGTATAGCCATAATAAGCACAACACATGTGTTTCCATTGGGGATAGTACTGATTATAAGCATATAAATAAAGAATTCAGAATACTGGTGTGAGGAAAGTAAACAGAACAGTGGCATTGAGCATGGTTGAGGCTTCTTTATGCCTTTCTGAGAATTCAAGATTTGAGCCTTAGAGATCAAAAATTTCCAAACACTAAGACAGAAGCCCTGAGGCAGGCAGTTGTGAGCTCCTTATGTGTTTGAGTGTCTGTCAAGACTAGTGAGGAAAAACTAGTGGAGAGCATTACAAAGTGAGTGAGAGGTCGGACACAGTCAGATCTTTGGGGATCTGTTTGTTAGGCCTGGTAAAAAGTTTGACTAAAAAATATACTTATTTTATAGATATACTTTTTTTTAAGGATTTATTTATTTATTTGAAAGAGTCACACACAGAGAGAAGGAGGGGTAGAGAGAGAGAGAGAGGTCTTCCATCTGCTGGTTCACTCCCCAGCTGGCCACATCGGCTGGAGCGGCACTGATCTGAAGCCAGGAGCCAGGAGCTTCTGGGTCTCAGAAGGGGGCCAAGGACTTGGGCCATCATCTACTGCTTTCTCAGGCCATAGCAGAGAGCTGGATCGGAAGTGGAGCAGCCAGGATTCGAACTGGCACTCCTATGGGATGCCAGCACTGCATGCGGCAGCTTTACCCACTATGCCACAGCTCTGGCCCTTATAAATATACTTTTTAAATAATTATGATTTTGGAGCTAAAATGTGGTTTTGAAGATTCAGAAAGACTAAAAGGACTGATGTAACAAAAGACAAAATTAGGTGAGAAATGCACTGAACATGTGTAACAGATTAGCCTAAGTGGAAGAGGGTTTATAGATCCCTAACATTTGTGTATTTAATGTGGGTGTTTACATTATTTCTAAATTTTTTTTTTAAAAAGCATTTTACTTGAAAGGCAGAGAGGGAGGTAAGAGAGAAAGAGAAAGAGGGATCTTCCATATGCTGGTTCTCCCCAAATGCATGCAGAAGTTGGGCCTGGGCCAGGCTGCATCTGGGAACCTAGAGCTCAGTCCAGGTCTCTCATGTGGATGGCAGGGACCCAAGTACTGGAGCTATCATATGCTGCCTCCCAAAGGTATGCACTAGTAGGAGCTGAATCAGAAACAGAGGGGGGGACTTCCAGCAGGTACCCTGAAATGGGATGTGGGCCGCCCACGTGGCTACTTGAAACCAGCGCTGCATGCCCACCCTTAGGTTATTTTTGAGCAAACTCTGATTTACGTTGGTTGATACGTTGTAATTTTTCTGTTTTGTCTGGAGCATCTTCATGGCAGTGTACTAACTGTGAAGTCAGACTAAAACTTCTCATTTGATAGCTGGTTTTCAGAGAGACACTTGGTTCCGAGCTGAAAAAGTGCTTGGTTAACTTAATCATGGACAGGAACGGGATATAAGTTGATTTGAGAGAAATGTGAACGTATTCATCGAGGATGACTCTGAACTGTCTCTGGACATGTTCTAACCCAGTACTAAGACTGGAAATGTGTGATACATCTGGATTCATTCTGAAGGGTATTGAATGCTAAATTGAGGAATTTGGATTTTAGTATCCTGCCTTAAATCATACTGCTTTAAGTCATGTAACATCCACAATTGTCCTTTGGTAATTCATGTTATGAAACAAAATTTTTATTGTTGCTTATAAAATAGGAGATTACTATTTTTCACCCCTTTTTTATTACTGCTTTAGACATTGGGAAACCATTGTATTGAACTGAAGTAAAGTGTAATGAAAGCAATGTTAAAAAAACTGGTGAAGGTTTCTAAGACAGTGGAAAGAAACGCAGGTGAACAAATTTAGAAAGCTTTTTCAGTACTTCTGAGAGTGATGAGACTGTCTGAACTAGTTCACTATCATTTCATTTAGTGCAAATAGAATAGAAAGGACCATAACAGACTTAAGAAGTGTGATTTCATTAATTGGCTGAAAATTTCTATCGTTAGGTTACAGAAAGGCTTTATGAAAGAATTGAAAGGAATTAGATGCCATGATTATAAATACAAAGAATATTGCTTATTAAATCAGTTTCAGAGACTGTCAAATTGTTAATTGCCTTAGAAATTTGTACACAATATTGCTAAACATAGGTTGTAGCTTGGAGCTTAGAAGTTTCTAGTCTTTAATGTTATAAAGCCATTTATTAAAGGATTATTTATATTGGCATGGTAGCACATAGTAGAAACTTAAAAAGATTTTGACTGATGCATAGTTTAAATCTTAGATCTCATTCCTTAATGTCAAGTCCAAGTTAATATTCATGTGACATTCCTAGGAAGTAGATTCCTCTAAAGAAAAAGATGTCATACCCTGTCTATTCCCTATCCTTTGAGT